GGTGCCCGATATCAGTGGGCTGAGCACTCATCGTCTGATCCTCCTCTCTTTTTTTGGTAACTGGTCTTTTCCCCCTCAACATCAAAGTAAAATAAAAATAACAACACCCTGCCGCCCCCGAACTTATCACTCTACAAATTTGGTTCACACTCTTTCTCTTTCTATACCTTTCTCTTCTGAACTGTCAACTTTGGACTGAAATCAGACTTGGAATTTAGCATGAAAGGAACTGATGAGGATAAAATGATCATTGATGGAAACGATAGTCCAGGAGTGGAAAGCCTTCCCCAGCTTGCACTGTAACAATCCTCCTCTCACACTGCAATAGTGACCAAGGACACAAATTAAAGTTATCAGCTTGCTGATGACTCTTTGGCAGTCCACACATGATCATATGGTCCCCAGAACACCAATAGAGCATATGCGAATATTGTTTCAGATTCATCAAGATACCACATGGACAGCGTAAGCAGCTTTAATTGTGTTTCAAGGAGAAACACAGATGCCTCTAGCTCATGCACTCCACTGGCTCCTCTGGCTTGCTGGTGCCTAAACTGATATGGAAATTATCTCAAAAGAAAAATATTAAAGAGGAGTGGAATCTGTTATATTCTGCCCTCTGCTTAGAATTAGAAGTTGCCAGCCTGATTTTATTTTTTTATTTCTGATTCATGCTTTTCAACTTTCAAAAACACAGAGACATAATATATTTTAGCTATAAAATTTATGAGCTATTCACTACTGAGGTATAAATAATGAGAAAGCTAAATTACATTTTCTGAAAATATAAAAGTCCCATGAAACATTCCCAGAGAAGCTATGTCCATTTACTAATTAAGCAACACGGAATATGGAATAAGAATTTCATTCCTAGCCAGCTAATGGATGTAAACTTTTTTTGCACTTTGTACTTAGCGATATGACAGAGAGACACAGTTTTTCACTCAGGGGTATCAATGGAATAAATAAATTGGAGTTCGTAGATGCTCTGGGCTTTTAGAAGCCAGTATGTAATTTTTTTCATTTATAGAATGAGTGTTTTTTTTTTTAACCTAAATCAAAGTAATGCTGTTAACATCCTCAAATGTGAAGATGTGAGAAATCTATCTATCTATCTATCTATCTATCTATCTATCTATCTATCATCTATCAATCATCTATCTATCTATCAGTTCAGGGTTTGATTGCATCATTAGACTCTTTCAGTCTAATAGAAAATAAAATTATAGCTGGGCTCTTTACAGACTAACTCTTTAGGCTGCTAACTCACAGAATAAAAACCCTTTGAAACTATGAGAATTCAAAAAAACCAAAGGTAGACTTGAAAAAGCCACCATTAACACTAAAATTAGGGAGTACTTTCTATACAATCGAGTTTCCCAAAGAAAACAACTACAAACAGGATAACAACAACGACAAACCTATTTAAAGGCACTGGAGAGCGGCCAAAAGCCAGCAGGGACTCGAGGGGACTCAAGGATTCAATCCTCGAATGAAGGGGTATCTGGGTCTTTTCCAGTCTGCTGGGCACAGTGGCTATAACTCAAGGAGAAAGCCAGTCTTCCTGGTTGGGGGTACTACATGGTGGAGGTCAGGGCTGTAGCTGGAAAGGGAGGAGGAAAATCCTGGAATGGAGAGAGCCAAAGTGAGGCAGCCCTAGAATCTGCATTATATTCCCCTCAAATCTTGACTTATATTTTTGAGTGTTGCATACATGGACGAGTTACAAGAGGTCCAGGGGAAAGCAGCATCTAGAAGTTGGAAGAGTTGAGCAGCTGCTGTCTCTGCAGGGGAGCAGGGCTTGGAGCTGAAGTCCCACGTTAGAGGGGCGTGGCAAACACTTCAGGCTTCCCATTGAAATGAGAGAAGGGCCATACTTTGGGGGTGAAGAACAAATCCCAGGACTAAGGGATTTTTCTTAGATCTAAGGGCAAAACCTAAATAGAATTCTAACGAAGCATAACACAAAGACTCTACAAGTTTAAGGTGATCCACCACTAACGTAACTGCCTGCCAGAACAAAATCAATACTCTTCAGAGGAAGATAACAGAATCTATCATCTCTATGAGGATTTCCACAATATTCAGCATGCAGTTAAAATTGGCTGGACATGAAAAGAAACAGGAAGATGTGATTCAGAGTCAAGAGAGAAATCAGTTAATAGAAAATGACCCCAAAATGAGCCAGATGTTGGAATTGGCAGACAAGAAATTTAATGCTGCTATTATAACTATGTTCAAGGATTTAAGGGAAAAAGAAGCAGAGAAATGGAAACTATGTATGTATGTATGTACTGAAAAGTACAATATCTGAAATGAAGAATTCACTTGATAGGCTTAACAGAGACTGGAGATAGCAGAAGCAAGGGTGGGTAAACTTAATAAAGGATCAATAGAAATTACCCAATCTGAAGAATAGAGGGGCAAAGATTGAAATAGTGAACAGAGCCCCAGTAACTTATGGGACAATATCAAATAGTGTAATAATATACATGTCATTGGAATCCTAGAAGGAGTGGAAAGAGAGAATGGGGCAGAAAAAATTTTGAATAAATAATGGCTGAAATGTCCCCAAATTTGGTGAAAAACTTACAGATCAACTTATAGGTTCTAGAAATTCAGCAAACCCTAAGCAGGATAAACACAGAGAGTACCACATCCAGGAGCATCACAGCCAAACAGCTGGAAACCAATGGTAAAGAGAAAATCTTCAAAGCATCCAGAGAAAAAGGACACATTACATAGAGGGGAACTCCCCTAAGAATTCCCACTGACCTCTGCTCAGAAGCAAGGAAGGCAACGAATGACATCTTTAAAGGGCTGAAAGAAAAATAACTGTCAACCAAGAATTCTACATCCAGTTAAACTATTCTTCAAACACAAAAGTGAAACAAAGACATTTCAGATAAGCAGAAGCTGAGAGAATCTGTTGCCAGGAGACCCTCAGTACAAGAAATGCTAAGGGAAGTTCTTCAGGCTGAAGGGAAATGACCAGGTTGGAAAGTTGGCTCTATAGGAAAAAAAATGGTGAGTCCTAGAAATGGTAAAACTGGGAAAATATAAAAAACGATATAGTTTAAATTTTCTAGTTTCACTAACAGACCACAGATTGTTTAAAGTAAAAGTGATAAGACTGTATTGTGGGTTTTATAATGTATGTAGATATAAAACATATCAAACTGGTAGCACAAAGGAGGGAGGTAATACGGAATTGTGCTGTTTCAAGTTTCTTACATTTTAGGTGAAGTGGCACAATGTTAACGCTAGCCTATGACAAATTAAAGATGCATATTATAATCATTAGATCTAAAAGGCCAATAGAAGTGGAAAGTGGAATACTAAAAACTATTCAATTAACAAAAAGAAGAAAGGAGATTCAGGAATGAAAGAGTACAAATAGAAAACCGGGGACACTAGCAACAACACGAAGCTCAAAAACGTTATGTTAATCGAAAAAAGCCAAACACAAAAACGTACATACTGTACGGATTCTATGAATAAAAAGTTCAAGATCAGGGAAAACTAATCTATGATGATAGAAACCAGAACAGTGGCTGCGCGTGAGGGGTGGGGATCGCCTGGGAAGAGGCAGGAGAGAAATTTCTGGAGAGATGGAAATTTATACCTTGATTGAGGTGGTGGCTTACTTGGGAGTATCCATTTATCAAAATTCATAGACTAGTAACTTAAAATTTGTGCATTTCACTGTATGTATATTTTACACACATTTTTTAAAGCTTCGCATCAAACTCTCGCTGGGCCTCCGGTTGTAAACTTTGATCAGCAGAGGGCGCTCCGAGCTCACCAAACACGCTTTAGGGACGCAGCTACTTTGGGATGCAGATCAGACCAGCTCTGGTCTCCTCTGCCTCCAAGGTGGATCTCGCAGCTCCCCAATAGCTCTCACTCGACACCCCACCTTCCCCACCCGCGGCTTCCCCGGCTCATCCATTCACCTGGCCACACGTTGCTTTTCGGCTGATAAGCCGCGCATAGCTAATGGCGACGCTCTTTTCCGCGGCACCTCCGCGGAATACAGATGCGGCTGGCAGGTGGCGCGTGCTGCCTGGAGGCGTACCTGCCCCTCTAAGGTCTTCTCTTGATATGGTCGCTTTTAAATCGGAAGTGGGGACGTAATGGAAACTTCCACACTGTGCTCGACATCTTCATTTTTGACCTTCTTACCTCGCTTTGGTGGCTGTGAAATATTCCCACGCAAGGGCTGCGGCGGGCGGGGGGTGGGTGGGTGGCTGCGCGAGGGCGGCGCGGAAGGAATTTTCCCTGAGGAAGGCTGGGTGGGTGGGGCATCGCCCCAGGGTTGCAGCACCCCAGAATATTGTCTTCCTGCCCCCTCCATATCTCAGAAGGAAGCTAGCGACTGGAAAGCCCCAAACGTCCTTCGCGCCCTCGCCTACCCCCAGGCCGGGTCTCTCCCGGGAACTGAGATGCCATTACACCTCACGTGATCCGCGCACTGGGCCGGTCCTTCGAGAGGCGTCTCGCGGGGTGTTAATTAAAGGTCACAACAAAACAGACCTGCCGGCTCACCAGAAGAAATGTCCTCCCGGGAAATGAAAAATGACACCCCGGAGCAGCCACGTGTGGAGCCTGGCATATGCCGGCTTCCTGCGCTCCTGGGCGCCGCGCCGGGGGCGAGAGGGGGGATCGGAGAGGCGCGATGACTGGGTGCTCCCGGGACTCCGCGGGCCCCGGCGCGGGAAGAAAAGGAAGGAGGGGTGCCGAGGGGACCGACCGGGCAGGGGGAGGCCAAGGCCAGCTCGCGCACACCCCCTCTCCAGGCCCGCGCCGTCCGCCTGCGCGTGTGCAGTCCCTCAGTTTCCCCTGCCCCGCGGCGGCCCGCGGGATCCCCGGGCTCACCTGTCCCAGCCCTGGGCGGCAGGCACGTCGCAGACTGGGGTTCGGGCGGGTGGGGGCGAAGGGCCCCGGTCCTCGGGCCGTGGTTGGGAGGGTGGCCCCCCGGCCCGCGGGCGTTGGTAGAGCAATTCCAGAAAAGGTTTGCAGGGCAGGTCTGGGAGAACAAAGGGCGGGGGGAGGACCCGGCATGTTTGTGGACTTGTTTGTGACTCAGTCCTTTTACACGGCGTTTCAAAGGCAGACCTGCAAGCCTTGCCAGGAAGAGAAAGAACTTGGGGGCGGGGGAGGCTCGGGCGCAGTATTTCTGTCCAGCCCCGCTCGCTCGGCGCTGCCCCTCGGCTCCAGGCTCGCGCAGTGGTGTTTCATTAGAGCCCTGGACACGGGCCACTCACCAGGAACTTCCCCGCACGGAGCGAGATTTACGACCCCCCTCCCCCGGCGCTCGGCCTCTCAATGTCAGGCAGGAGCGCCGCAACATAAAATGGAGCCCGGCCGGCGCGGCGGCGGCAGCCAGGCGGCGGGCTCCCGGGCGGCGGGGCCGCTGTTCCCGAGGCTCCGCGCTGCGCCCGGGCGCACACGCGCGCCCTGACCGCGGACGGCTCCCGGCCGCCCCGAGCCGCCCCTCGCGCTGCCCTCGCGCAACTGACAGGCAAGACGGGCTGCCGGATATTGGCTCCGCGACACGCCGAGGCTCCTCCCCAGTCTGGATCTTTATATTTTGGGAGAATTTCTTTGAACTCAGTTACCCGGCTCCGCGAGGGAGACAAGTTCCCACAGCCGGCTCGCCGGCGGAGGCGAGGCGAGGGCTCGCCCACCTTCTCTGCAGCTGCCGCGCGCCCTGATTGTATTCCTCGTCTCCATCGTGGAGGAAAATGGACTGACTTGGCTGGGGAAAATGCTAGTTATCTGGATGTGACCGTGAAAAGAGACCGTGTGACTGGAGGAGGCAGAAGAGGATGAGGAAAAGCATTATTTGAAGAGAAGACTAAACCAGCCACTCCAACCCTTTCTGCAGATTGGTGCTATTACTTCTGGGGTCCATTTGCTTTTATTCTCCCCCCACCCCAAATGAAGAAACCTTGACTTGAGGGCCAAGAGACAGCTCCCTACAACCGTAGGCACGCTTCTGGGTTGGAAGACCTTTTGGATGTAGCGTTGGTGGAACATTTAGACACTCTCCTCCGCAAAAGACACCATGAATTCCGTAGCTGGGAATAAAGAGAGGCTGGCGGTCTCCACCAGGGGCAAGAAATACGGGGTAAGTTGTGACGGGTACAATGCGGAGACGCGTTACCAGAGCTATCTCGGCTGGGGTCCCCTCTCCGGGTAATGTGCGCCCCAGCAGGGCGGCTCCGCGCTCTCCTCCCGCTGCATAGGTGCCTCCGCCGGGCGGCCGGGCGTGCGTGCGCAGAGGCGGGTCTGCCGGCAAGGACGCCGCACACTCGCCCGGCCCTTGAAATTTTTTCAGTCTTTTCATTCCTTCCCTTCCCCGCACCCCTAACTTTTGCAGCATTCCTGCATTTCTAGGCAGAGTTAAGCCTAATGGGAGGGTTTTCCATGAATTCTTTGCCGTTCCTCGGGATCATTTCCCTGGAGCCGGGGGAGCCTTTCATTTACCCTCAGGACCCGGAGGGCTGTACCCTGAATGAATCAAAATCCAGAAGTAACAGCCCCCCACCCCCCATAGTGTTTTCCAGGATCTTGAACCTGGGCCCTGCCTGGGATAGGTGCTGGGTTCAAAAGGGCGAGGCGCTTGTCTATGGGTTCCCCCTGCAGAAACCATTGAAAACCCCTGAGCGAGCACTCTCCTCGAGCCCTCTCCTCCTGCCCGGAGAAGTCCGCCGGCGCTAGGGAGCCGGCGCGGGGGGCACCCGGCCGCTGGGGACTCACTTAAGGGCAATTAACGAGTCAGATGGAGGCAGATTTGGCCCCAGTGCTCAGAGCGGTCCCGAACGCGCTCCCGGTGGCGCTCGGCCGGGCCCTCGGTGGCGCGCAGGTCCCCGGGAAAGCGGGAGGCGGCCCCTACCCGGGCCCGGCTCCAGGGTGCGGGAGGCACCGTGGGGCCCCTGACGGCGGCGTGTCTCCCCCGCAGGTGAATGAAGTCTGCTCGCCCACCAAGCCGGCGGCGCCCTTCTCCCCCGAAAGCTGGTACCGGAAAGCGTACGAGGAGTCGCGCGCTGGGAGCCGGCCCACCCCCGAGGGCGCGGGCTCGGCGCTCGGCTCGTCGGGGACCCCGTCCCCCGGCTCGGGCACCTCGTCCCCCAGCTCCTTCACGGGCTCCCCGGGCCCCGCCTCCCCGGGCATTGGCACCAGCTCGCCGGGCTCCCTGGGCGGCTCGCCGGGCTTCGGCACGGGCTCCCCGGGCTCGGGCAGCGGCGGCGGCTCCTCCCCCGGCTCGGACCGCGGCGTCTGGTGCGAAAACTGCAACGCCCGCCTGGTGGAGCTGAAGAGGCAGGCTCTGAAGCTGCTCCTCCCGGGGCCCTTCCCCGGC